CATAATCCCCAAACTCCCAATTATCCGCAAAGCTCCACGCATACGCTCCCACAACCTCAACACCATCTTCCCAAATCGCCTTAAGCGTCTCAGACAAGAAACTCAAGTAGTAAATACTTCTTGGCGTATCAAAAAGCTGATCAGATAGATCTTTTTCAGCTTCGGCGTAAACGGGGAAACCGAATTCTGTGAGAGCTACGGGAGTCTTCCATGTGTTGTGCAGGTAGTTGAGGTAGCTGCGGAGATAGGTTGGGGTTATGTAGACGTAGCTTTGGGAGCGGTAGCCGATGTTCCACCCGTTTACGGTTGTGGTGGTTTGGTTGACACAGTAGGGACGGAAGGTGGAGGAGGAGTTTGAGGCGCATTCGAGGATACTGTCTTTGTCGTCTGGGACTGGTGGTGCAATAACTGTGGCGGTATATGGATCAATACCCAGGAAATCCGCTGTACCGCCGATGTACTTGAGATCATCCTCACTCAGCGGGACATAATCGTCAAAAGTCTGCTTGAACGACTCAGGGTAATCCTCGCCAAGGTAAATCGGGTTGCAGAACGGTCCCAGCTGAATAGAATTGAAGTGATCCGCAGCGTAGACATCGGCTTCACTCTTAGGATCACGAGGTACACCAAAGTTGTTGTTGAACTTGAGAGCAATCTTGCCCTTTCCACCAAGCTCCTCCTTATACCAGTGATAAACTCGCGCATGAGCCTTAACCACATTGTTGATCGAAAGAGCATTGTATGAATACAGAAGAGGCTCATTGAAGGTGAACCAAACGGGGACGCGATCAGCGTAGTGCGCCATAGCAACCTTTGCATAGTGAACGAAAGCATCTTGGAAAGTCTCATTCTGATAACCGCCGTTGACGTAGCCGATCTCAGGTCGATCAGCAGCCTTGGTGAGATTGCTGCCAAAGAACTGAAGAGGTGTATCAAAATGAAGAAGCGTGACCTCAGGAGTCATGCCCTTCTCGAGGATGAAATTGATCACATCGTTATAATGATCAATACCCTCCTGATTCACAGGTGTTCCAGGTAGAGCAAACGGCAAGATTCTCGTCCACGCGATACTGAACGAGAAATGCTTAGCGCCCATAGCAGCAACGCGCTCAATATCTTGCTTGTAGTAGTAATAGTGCTCATTTGTAACATAATCCTTCACACGACCATCTTGAACGAGAATATCCATGAGAGACGGCGCCTTGCCCTCTTCCGCAGTCGCGCCCTCGATTTGACTCGCAGAGCTAGCTACTCCGAAGCTGAAGTTCTTAGGAAAATTGTAGCAATCCGAAGGACCAAAGTAGTCTCGTGGCGGAAGGACTAGTTCACTGCTGGGAATGGGAGTGGGAGATACAGTTGTGCTGAAGATTCCCGTTTCAGTGAAGTTGGGCGGGTTTGCATGTTCCCAAAGAGCAGTCCATGCGGCCCGTCCATAAGGATCATCTGTATCTGAGGCCTTTGTGGTGGCATTTGGATCCCACTTTCCCCAGGTTGTGAAGGAGAGTGAAGGGACGAGAGAGATGAGTGACTCTGGTGGATTTGCATATGTAGTTGTTGTAGTGGGAGATGGCACCGAAGTAGCGTATCTCACAGTCTCAGAGAGGGTATAACTGAATGGTGTATGTGTATATTTCGGCTCATGTGTCTTTGTAGCCTTACATTGAGGACGCTCAGTAGGACCCTTTGCATCAAGATAGATCTGCTGGCCAACAGCCAGAGACGCAAAGAGGAATTGTATCAGAGCGTATGAGGGTGTCATGATGGGCGACTGAGACACAGGACTAACGAGCAAAGCACCCTGCGCGATCCCACGATATATATGTCCAAACTATCTACTTCGACAACATCATGATCCGCCCTTGCCGTGAGAATCAAAGGTCTATTCCGAACCGAAAGCACTGAATTCCGCGTGTTAGTCGATCCCCAGACTTTTCGGACCGATTCAAACCTGTTCTTTATAAGAAATCGCGGGGAAGATGTGGGGATGTAACGGTCATGCTCTCTCAGTAAAAAGCCACAGATACTCCGATTTACACGGGAAATCGTATGTGCTCGCGGTACCAATTGCCACTTACAGACATTTCCTCTCCTGTGTGGGGTTGAAGCGGTGACGGCATCGTGCTATTAGATTTCCCCGGACCAAGATTATGGTGCTGACTATGTCGATCTTTGCGGGTTATGGCCCAGAGATCCGGTTTACCCCAGAATTGCGGTCCAATGGAAGGATAGGATGAAAACTTGATGGGGCCGATGGTGAGAGCCATTGTATTTCGCCGATGAGTTGAGCGATTGACAAACTATTTCGGGGTTTCGGGGTATCTTGAGTCTAGGAAAGGTTACCAATTCACGCCAAAACTGTCAATCCCGTGATATCACTAAGGGCGCATAATTGAAAAGGTATAGCTTACTAACTTGGTAAAGAGAGAAACCACCCGAAGTTGTCCTATACTGTCCATTATCTTTCCTCGTGGTTCTTCTGTCTATTGTTCGTTGTTTTTTAAGAACTGAGGTGCGTCATTTCTTGTGACTCAACGCCATCAGACTAGATGATTTATAACATCTAAAAACTTTTTAATAGTAATAGCTTTGTTACTACTCCAGTAGTACTGGATACTTGATTTAGAAATGATATTAGTATTCTTAAAATCTCATTGCGACGTCCCCAGTCCACCATGTCTACTGTACCGTACGACACGACTGACCAGGTTCAAGATCATCAATGAAAAGATAGCTACCAGGAAGACATCATCGTAAGCTCCTAAAATAATTAGAAAGAACAAAGCAGATAGAAGACCTCTTACAAGGTTGAAAGGAAGTTCAAAGAAGTTCAATTCCAGCAAGCCCGCACTCTATCTGTCTGTTGCATCCAAACATACATATGATCCATCATGCCGAACCTTCACGATATCCTGTCTAGCCGGCCTCTTTGTTAAGTTTATTAACAGTACGCTCCTTTTATCGTACCAAACGCTGCAGAATTTGTGCTCCCAAGTTCCTTCGCGATGTTGACGCTGTAAGAGACGTCCCGTTCCCATCAAGCCTAAACTGATTGATTAAGAGACAGAAAACATCGGATGTCATAAGCACACTCGTTAGTCTTTGCTCATGCGTTGCTAGTTTTTCTGAAATCAATTGAATTGCTTGAGATCATTAGGTCAAACACAATGGCTCGTTGGCCGCTTCTCCAGGGCTTTTACCAACATCGACGCCGTGGTGTCTTGTAGGAATCATAGTTAATACTAAAACTCTTCTGCAGATTTAGCAGTCTTTGGTAAGTCTTTATGCCTCCAAGATAACTGATTGCCCCGTTGCATTACTACTGTTATCCCTGCACTATCTCATGAACGAAAAAGCTCGAGTCATCATTCCTGGTACTTCAGTGCCACAAAAATCATCATCAACCCGTAGAATCACAGATTCCACAATACTAAAAATGTGACTTTCGACCTATTTATACTAAATGAGACGGATTGAATTTGTCAAAATCTCAGCATTCCGGCAATCCAGTTGATTGAGTGAATGTTCCGGGGACGTCTCCCTACCATTGATCATTTTTGACGCTATTTAAGAGTAGCTTGCTGGAGGATGCAAGGTGGTTCAGTAGGCACCCTGGCGTTTGGGTGGCCTCTTGCCTACTGAAAGCAAGATAATCTGGGGTAAGGTAGAAGATGGGAAGACCTAAGGGAGTCCAGGAACAATGGTTGGTAACCCAATGTTCCTCTTCTATTCTCCTCTAAAGATTGACCTGCCTGATCCTAAGCTTAGGGTAAATTATGCATAAGCCTAGGAACCCTTTTTAAAAACTTAGTACACTGTGATCATAAGCTATGCCTAAACTTAGGCTAGATTCCATGGCAGTGGCCATAATTTGTGCACTTTATCTGGTCTTGACTTTAATATTGCCGGTGTGTTATGTGACTGTTGTATCTATAGATGGTGGATTTGCTATTTTCTAGACATTATTGTCCTCGCCCTCGAGATATGTTTGTCGCATGTGACTCAGTTGTTGGGTGTGTTGGGTTGATGCACCGTCGCCAATTGCATCTGTAGGAGATTTCTGTTCTGCAAATAAGAAGCGCTTGTAGTTGGTCCCGGGTTAAGTCGATAGGGATGTAAATTCCTTTGCGCTGTTGTCTTGGGAGTGCGTTTCGAAAGATTGAGAAGTTGATCTCATAGACGTTGAAGAGTGCCCACGTCTGTCTTTTCTCGGTATGCAGCATGAGCTGCATAAGCTGTGTAAGGTTTGCTGACGAAAATACCTGACTAAATTTCGGAAGCAATTTCCTGTTGAAAGTAATGGTTGAATTTGTGTTAAGTAGTTCTGTTGGGTGGTGTTGAACTTGAGGCAGAGCTGTCCATATGCTTGATCGATTTTGTTATAGAAATCCTCTGGTGAGGTGTTCCAGAGCTCTTCAAGGAGCTGACAAAGTTGATTCCTTGTTCTCATGGTCCCAAAACGGACTACTTGGCGATTTGAATTGTTGTCGGGGATAAATTTATTGTCAGGGGGGGTATTGGACAATGACTGAGCAGTGTTGTCAGGGGTGGCGTCGTGGGTAGCATTGGTATTATCTAAGTTGTTAGTAAAATGGGCTAAAGGAGTAGAGGATTGCTGATGTTAGGGATTATACCTTGTTCATCATTGATAATAATCGGATTGAACCATGATCCTCGAGTCATTTTATTGGCCATCTTGATGGTCGTGGTGTAAGGAAAAAGAAAGGAAACGAAGGACGGTTGAAGACATATCCATGGTTATAAGTCTGGGAAAGAGTAACAGGCCGGTTTCTCCAGGGAAAGATCGGGTAAAGGAAGGAGATAGCATCTCCTGGATTAATTGACACTGCAGGAGGAATGACTCAATACGACAAAACAACATCACAGGGAAGGCAAGAGAGGGTCCAAACAAACAACCTGGGGAAATGTCTGGATGGCCCAGGGAAAATCAAGAAGTTGATATTAATTAGTGTGCTATTATCTAGTTATAGAAAGCTACTTAGTTATCTTGGGGGGGGTTGACCAATTTGATCATAGGTGTCCCAGCTACGCTGGCGGACATCGTCGGCGGAAATGACCTGTGGCCGTTTGTGTCCGTTGTTGATGGTGAGCGGCTTCCAAGACTGACCCAAATGGGTCAGCTTGTCTGCAACAACTTGCAATGGGACAAAGCCCTCTGCGGGTGTGATAGGTCGCTCGTACTGGATGGCTAGTCCAGCAGAGGGCTGCCAGCTCTGGGACTTCATGAAAGCGACCGTCTCTCTTGCCAATCGGCGGGTGTTTGCTTCATTGTTGAAGAGGTTGATGTCGGCGATTGAGCTGATGTAGGAAGCCACTGCGGTCGATCCTGGGTTGGGGAGATAGAGCGGCATGTCGAACAATGGGACGAGGGTCTTGCTGATGCCCGCGATGCGGGCGGCTGCTGACAGCGGCAGGTCAAACATCGTAAGAAGGTCTTCGTCATAGTCGGGCTCGGGTGTACCGGTAGCGCGTCTCTTTCGGACAGAGGGAGATTTGGTAAGGTCGATGGGGATAGGATTGTCGTTAAACAATTTAGATGTGCCTCTGGCACTTCCGCTGCCGCCAGAGTGAGCGGCCCGAATAACGGATCCAATCTGGTCGAACGCCGGTTCAGGGGGCATGCTCGCCTACGATCGTGTTGAGGCTGGTGGTTAGTCCTTTAATTTCTCCCATGGACGTGAGGATAGAGCTGGCTTTCTCGCTGAGCTCTGGGGTAACACCAGAGTTGATGAGATTCTTGACCACCTCGGTCAAGAGAAGTGCATTTTCGGCCGCGCCAATGGCGTTCCGGGAACTTTCTCCGGCCTTTGCCTGTACATTTCCCTTATAGTCCGCGACTGCGTTCTCGGAGGGAGTAAAGCGACCACTTGAGTCGCGGGGGGTACGTCGAGGAGGCGCCATGGTGTCTGCGTTGGCGCTACTTGTGGAGGAGAATGGTTCGTCCTGGTCTTCGGTAGACGTCGCTTGACGTCGCGGGGTATGTGGGAAGAGGATTTCTGGGTCGGTATGACCTGGTCGTGAGAAGGGTCCGCCTAGCGGAGGGTTGGGATGATATGTGCCGGTAAAGGCGTTTGAGGATCCGCCACTTGGGTTATATCCGTCTCGACGCGCCTGGTCTTGGTATCTCTTGTGTAGCTCTGGGTTTCGAGCTACCCACCTATCGCACCGATGTACTTTGTGGCTGTTTATAAGTTGGTCCTCTCGGCCGTAGAGCTGTAGGGCTCCAAGGTAGCCTTCGTATGAGATTGTCCCGCCCGGCTTTGTGAGCGGTTCGGAGAAGAGACGGCGGTATTCGATGTCTTTACTTGGATGGCTTGGATGTGAACACGATGCGAAGCAGATAATATTCTCGGACATTATCTGCTGGGCGCGAATTGGGGTAAAGCAATGGTGTAGACTGTACGCAGTAAATCTGAATAATTTTCAGATGCGTAAGGGAATGCCAGCTGGGCGATGAGGATATAGAGGCGCGAGATGTGATGTTGAGCGATATTGATGGGGAGGATGCTCTCGGAGAGGAAGATCATCGTCTCATCAGTTGCTATGAGCGAAACATGGCTTGCCTTACTGCCATTACCATAGGTAATGGAGTCGGAGATGATGTATGGCATGCATGTATGACCTGGAGGTTCCTGAGACTCCAAGAGAGGTCGATCGAAGAGTGCCAGGAGTCAAGTTCGGTGGTCTCGGTGGCGCGTCTCTTGCTCCCTGCGGGGGATTGCGTGAAGTTGATTGAGTTGGATAAGTTGAGAAAGGAAGCCGAGCTTCCAGAACCGCCGCTGGGGGAGTGAACTTGGGTCCCGAGTTGGTCAGTTGGGAATGAATAGCTGCATAACAGATGAGCTGCCACTGCACCGCAGTGCAAAGCTCAGAGCGCTGACCAGGCCGAAATCGGGGAACAAACCCCATCAATTCTTATCAATTAAACCTATAGCACTTGCTTCACAGGAGCTTCAATCTTGGAGCAAAGATCTAATAGTATTAAAGAGAGTCTAAGAATATATCTAACGTTGAACCCGCACCACCATCCATACCAAGAACACTCCATTAATTCAAGTCCAAATTCATTCCAAACATAAAACATTAAACATTTCTCTCGTTGAGAATCGTAAGTCGTTCATAAGAACAGTGTTGCGCGTTATACCATCGTGTACTGTCCCAGTTCCAAAACCCTTCATCACCATGTCAATTTCAGTTTTGAGCTTAGAAGAGAGAGTTGATGAACTCCTTGGCGCGCTTGTAAGCACCATATGAGCCGTACTTCTTATAGTTGTAAGATCCTGAAGCAGTGTCAGTCTAAGTTCCATGTTGTTGAGTGGTGAAGGGGGTTTAACTCACCGTAGTGGGTGTATTTCTTAGGGTATGAGCCGTACTTGGAGTAGCTCTCTGGCTCAGCCTCAGGAGCAGCCTCGGGCTCAGCTTCACGCTTATAATGGCCGTAAGATGAGTACTTCTTATAGTTGTAGCTTCCTAGAGGACAGTCAGAATCACAACGTCAAGGGTGAAGGGGGACAACGAACCGTAGTTTGTGTACTTCTTGGGAGCCGGCTTGGGCTTGGGCTTGGGCTTTGCGCCATAGCTTCCGTAGCTTGGGTAAGATGGGAGGTCTTCGCCGGCGCCCTTATAATCTCCATAAGTAGTATATCCAGGAGCGGCTTCGGGAGCAGCCTCAGGTTCGGCCTCACGCTTGTAATGGCCGTAGCTTGAGTATTTCTTGTAGTTGTAGCTTCCTGTGAGAGTGTCAGTGTGTGAACTGTAGCTTGCTTGAAGGACTTCTCACCATAGTTGGTATACTTCTTAGGAGCTGGGGCAGGCTTAGGCTTGGGCTTGGGCTTTGCACCATAGCTTCCGTAGCTAGGATAAGATGGCAGGTCTTCACCTGCTCCCTTGTAATCGCCGTAGGTAGTATATCCTGGTGCTGCTTCCGGAGCCGCTTCAGCAACCGGGGCTGCCATGGCACCCGCAGCCAGAGTGAGGAGTGTAACAGCGGTAAACTTCATTTTAATGTCTGAAGAAAGACAGAAAGATGGTAGTGCAAGGAAACGGAGAAGAGTGTTGGTGCTGGGTAATTAAGGCTGAAGAGAAGGGTGAGAAGGGTGGTGAGGAAACACTTCAGCTCGGGATGGGAACTCCGGCTTTATGGACAAGGATCGACACCTCTTGGTTGTACAGAACAGTCTCATCATGATCATCATGATCAAAACCTTAGCTTGCAGAATCACACTAGAAGCTTTCAAGCCCACCTCTCCATATCCAGACTCATTCGCCAAGCGAAACTTGACGATGGCATCGGATCCTACGGCATGAGACAACTCATCAGCCTGCTTAGACTAGCACTGTGAAGTCTAAGCTAGAAAAGCAAAACCTCGTATCACTCTCACAGCCAACTCAAGTTGCAAGTGGAGGGATCACCATCTGGACGAGGCTCTCCATTGGACCACGCCAAGGCTGAGCACTCTGTCTTCCCTCTCATGGTAACGATCGCGCAGTTTCTGTAAAGCTTTGCATCATTGAGTCCTACCTTAGCTTAGCATTCGTGATACCTTGTTAGCTGGACAATCAGCGTGTCTGACTGCAGACAAACCAGGGAAGCTCTCGTGTAAACCTTGTAGAGCTCTAGAACGAAGCTTGCAGCCAGCTCAAAATCAGCAGAAATTCCCTTTTTGGGAAAACAGCCACGATCTGGGCGAGTGGCGCGATGATCAAGGTATCTTAGTGAAGGAGCTAATGCACGTTGGATAAGAGTCTAGATACGGGCATTCTTTACAAGACGTACGGTAAATAGCACAGGAAAGTTTACATGTCGTGTCAGACGTGCATAAGATCAATCTTCGGGTGACCATTTTGGAATGTCATGATGTAGTTGATGGGCGGAAATGTCTCGGGTTGATCTAAACCCTTGCTACACGATATGATCTATCCGTCCCAATTGCAAATCATGGGGTTCAATGTCGTCAATTAAATCTTCGGTAGAATTGCCGTGATACGTACTAAGCAGAGATCTACTTCGTATAGCTAAACCACCAAGAACAACGTTCTGCCCCACCCCCGCAAGCCTCGTTCCCATCACGTCTTAGTCAACACCAAGAACCTTAACACCAAAGCCATCTTTTTTTCTAAAAAGTAGTCAAAATGATGCGGTAATGATTGTGGCTTTCTGCGGGGTGAATTGTTGGTCAGATTCACTTCAGCGTCACGGTTGTGGGAAGTTAATCGCCCTCTGCGGCGAAAGACTTCCAACAGTTTCTGATCCGTCTGGTCACGGAGAGCAAGCTTCTCTGGCCTTGGTACATTAGCTCGGTACCGAGTCGGATGCGGAGGCGGGATCCAGCCCTGCTTGAATACATCTCAGCCTTTCTTCACGAGGTGCGCTATGTCGATGTAGGTATGATCGCTTTTTCTCTGAGTGTCAGTGATTGGTGCCCGCCTCGTTTGTCGTGTATGTTGGTTCTATCAGGTATCTCACTCTGCATATCTCGCTGTTCTAGTTCGAAAGCCTTCTCTTCCGAAGCCCATGTCTAGAATCTTTGTGATGGCTGTGATAACGACGGATTGCCTCATCAGGGAGGATGAGAGTTTGCTAGACTGCGCCGGCTGAATCGGCAGTGTGCATTGGGTTGACACTATGGGTGTCAGCCGCTCAATATCATCATGTTAATGGTCTCGAGAGTTCCCGTTCTGATTTTATCAGAACCTCGAGAGCTTTGGGTAATTTCCTTCTTCTCATTTCTGACTTCAGTCTTATCTTACTCAGATTCATATCATTTTTAAACACAAGTTTTTCATCAATTGACTCTCTCTTACTGTTCACATCTCTCAATCTTCGACAATATGGCTCCCAAACCAGAACAAGAATCTGCCCTCTTGAACCCTCTCGTCGATGGTCAAGATACAGATGAAGACTCAGAATCCTACCATTATGTCCCTCCTCGAAGGCGGCGTTGCTCTGCATGCAGATGTGTCGGATGGATCTTCACTTTACTCTCAATTATCTTTATCTCAGCACTCTCCGGTGCTTGGATCTCAATGGCATATCTCAACATTGACCAGACATGTGCTTCACACACAACATCATGGTGTAAGTCCTCTACTCAATGACCCCCGGCTAGAACCATCAATTGACCTCTCAATTACAGCACCGGTTCTTAAGGACGTTTCGATAAAATACCACGAACAACCATTTGATGGAAACTTTATGGAGGAGAATGACTTCCGCAAAAACGGCTCTGCTAAAGTCGATGAAGCGTGGGAGTCACTTGGTGTTGACTGTATGTGTTCACCTCTCGAACAGCATTTCTGCAGTATTGACTAACTTTGTTCAGATCGACCTGGTGTCATCTCATATGAAGACGGAATTGCCAGTGGTCTCACTGATGCCCACGTTCAAGTCAGTCCAGAGCATGGCGGCGGTTTCATCGTCAACGTTGAGGGCATGCATCACCTTCACTGTCTGGTATGAACTCAATTACAAGAGGAAAGGCAGCAATCACTTACTTCTTTACAGAACCTCGTCCGCAAGTCCCTCTACTTCAATTACGATCACTACAAGGCCCTCGGTGGGCATGCCTTCAAGAACGACGGCGAAGTCTTCCGCCTGCACGTCAGTAAGTCACACTGCCTCACCTCTCTAGAAATCTTTCAATACTAATTACTACAGCACACTGTCTTGATACGATCCGCCAAGTTCTCATGTGCAACGTCGATACCGGTGTCCTTGGACAAGTCTGGTACGATAGGAAGAACCCCAGCGCGTTCCCTGACTTCAACACCAAGCACACTTGCAAGAACTACGATGACATCAGGAAGTGGTCCAAGAAGCTTCAGGTGAGTATCTTCTAGCTTGAAATTTCTGATCAGTGTGCTAACAAACTATGATTCAGGCTCCTCCTCCTGGCACACTGCCCCCAGACTTCCTCGCCAACCCAGAACCAGAGCACGTTCTTGAGTTTACACCATAATGATACACATTCCCTCAATGCCATAAAGTTTATGAGTTTTAAGGACGACAATGCAAGTCGCTTAATGTTTCTTCTTGGGTTACATGTAGATAGGTATTTTGCATATACACCGAGCAGGCATCAACGCCACCAATATTATAATACTTTCCTTTCACACATTTGCTCATGCATCTCCTCTATAATCCAACAGTCCTGAGAAGCCTTTCTCTTCGGACCCATAATCTCAGCAGCTATCTCATTACCCAGTCAGCCTTCAGACCAAGTGGCTTCCCGGCTGCCCAGTCAGCATGTCTCAGTTCGTATAGGGCTGTAGTAAACTTCAGTCATTCTGCATCCGGATGAAAGTGTCAACATGGAAATCTCAGCCGCACGAAATAAATGCGCTTACAGAGATGCATATTTTAGGAAACGGCTATTCCAGCCGCCGAGCCGTTTGGCCGGAAACGGTTCATCAACGTGGTGGCGGTCAACATTCCAGTCAAAGGCGAGTATCGTCACGGCTGAACAAACTTCACATAAATGAACTAAGGATACGAGAGTAAGTTTGCTTGATGCTGATGCGGCAGAGCCTGCTAAACGAGTGATCTTGTAGCTTCCTCCAGACCATAAGAGAGTGTATCAGATATGTATCTGTACTAGGTCAACCCATATTCCTTCTCGTATCATCCCAAGCTTCAATTAAGCCTTGAGCTCAGCCTGAAGACGGTGAAAGCCACCAGAAGCAGCTACATCCTTCTGAAGCTGAGCAATACGCTTCTGATCTCCAGTAGGGTCACTAGACTCTCCAGAAAGAGTCCACTCGAGGTACGAGTTGGTGTAGTTAGGCTCAAAGCTCTCGTCAAGAACACCAAGACGCTTGCCGTACTTGGTAACCTTCTCCCAGTCACGCTTGACGTTCTTGAGGTCCTTGCTGAAGTAGGCAAAGCTGCGCTCAAAGATCTTGCGGTTGAGCGCGGTTCCCATGACAGGCTTGAAGTCGACGTACTCGGCCCAGGCCTTCTCGGGCTCGGCGAGGACAAAGTCGGTGGCCTTCTTCACAGCGCGGAGGAACGAGCGGACCTTCTCGGGGTTCTCGGCAAGGAATTTCTCGTTGCCGATGTAGAGGATGGTGCAGAAGCAGCAGCAGCCCAGCTCGGCAAGTTCATCAATACGAAGCATCTGAACATCATCCTTGGGACGGCCCTGGGCAGCGAGCCACTCCTCAAGCTCAACCATCTGAACGTTCTCAAGACCAATACCGGCGTCGATCTCGCCCTTGATGATAGCCTTGGAGACGTTCATACCACAGCGCACGGCAGTGTAATCATCAGGAGTCATGCCGTAGTGCGAGGTGAGCTCATCGATCTGGATCTTACCAAATTCACCAACATAGCCGATTCGTTTGCCCTTGAGGGTGCGGAAGTCGGTGGTGATGCCAGAGTCCTTGAGGTAGACGACGCCGGTGAAAGGTTCGTCGAGAAGACTACCGATGGACTGGACGGGGAAGTTTCGAGCCTTGGCAGCCAGAGTGTGGATCATGGCCTTGAAGCCAAGGTCGACCTTGCCAGTACCAATGATCTCAGTGACATCCTGCGACAGTCAGCGTCGTGGTCACCATTCATTAAGCAATGGACACTTACACTAGGATCGTTGGGCTCGAGAAGAGCAACCTTAATTCCCTCCTCCTTGAAGTATCCCTTAGCCTGGGCTAGGTACAGCGGCGCGTGGTAAGGCGTAGCGTGCCTAACAACAGTCAACACAAGTCCATAAACTAAAGCAAGTTAGTTGTACCAGTTGGTAAGGAAAGTGATCTTATCAGTCGACATGATGAAAGATCAAGTGGTGTACTGCTAGGGTTAGTTTCCCGGTCACCCGGAGTAAAGGGGGGGATGTCAAGAAGCATGTCCTTTCGCTGGTATTATCCAGATCAAGTTCGCCGGTATTTCTCAGATCAACTGCCCTGCTCTGCCCGTCCTCAATCATGATGAACAGTCATCGCCATTGAAGGTGAGACGTATCGTAGGATGAGGGGAGGTACAGAGCATAGAGGCAGTTGAACACCCGGATGCGTTCTTTTAAACGTTACCTTGATACATGGTAATAATTGCGAAGAGAGCCATTGCTCCTTATTGGTGCGTTGTCACATCGTACCAAAAGATATGTGAGTTGGTAATTAAACAAAGGTTACTGTTTCAAGACAAGATTCTCAGATAATTGAGTTGAGGAACAAGAGTCGAGAAAGTCAGAGGATGCGTCTTGATATATGAATGCCTCAACAACCCCTCAGCGGGGTTGATGCATCCTACTCGACCTCCAACGTCATTGTAATGTGGGCATATGGACGGAATTGAAGGTCTTATTGGCTATCGGTTATCAATGGTGAGTAGTAATGTAACAACAAATGGCTCAGTTTTGATGATAAAGACTTCAAGAGCGCTTCACGGCTCGGCTTAACTTGTCAAGTCGTGGGGCGTGTTGCAGTAGGGTCAACTCTATGCATATTGCCAACATGATATGACACCAAATCATGAATGACAGTCATCCATGAAGCCTGGAGGAACAACGTGATTGAGAAACAAAATAATCATGAAATAAATCATATCACAAGTTGAATTGTTTACCATTCATACCATGATTTTGAGAACAACAATGTGAGGCTCATGTTCAGGGTAGCCTCATCAAGGTCCACAACTTGAATCTCACGATACTTTCACTCGATCGTGATGCAATTAGACCGAGATCGGAAGCTCGGGTCATTCGACAAAAATTTGCATATGCACCAAGATATCGGTTAGAGAACTGCCAATAGCTTTACAGATGATCTGACGATATCTTGGTACATATGCCAACCCGACAGACCCAGTCATTTCGATAGCATGATGTTCATTATAGCCGCCGGCAATTTCGGTGTGCTAGAAGAAACTGCCGTCTTCTATACGCGGCTCAAGAGATACTTGCCAATGAGTGATTAAATGAAGTTCTTCGGCAAAACATGTTTCCGGGTTGGAAGTGTTGGATGGTGATTTCGCATGTGAAACACTTGCGATGAGCTTCTTTCAACTCGCGGACCGTATGTCTTGGATACATGCTCGGCTGAGGTGACAAGGAGCTGCATGATATTTACTAGAAAGTTTAGACTGAGCAGTAGCATTGAGCAATTTGAGCATATCAACTGATAACAACACAACATCAAGGAGAAAAGCTTTCGGTTTCAATTCACTCGAATTCTTCATTTCCAACGGTCAATCCCATTGGCCCTCTTCAAAGCTTACAGCTCCGTGCCCTCGGCCGGGCGCCCGCATGTTCCACTGCCGTTGACAGGGCTGAAGAACCTCTCACAAAATTCTCAACACATCAAAAATTCTAGACGCAGCAGCTTGTCGCAAACTCCGTCTCCCTAATTGGCTCGGGGATCTAGACCCGGAGCTGGGGGAGAGCTCTCCCCTGAGAACGAGCTGAGACCGTGGGATCTCGGTGTCCCGAAGAGGAAACACAAGGATCCCAATATCGCGGGTGCTTGGCCCGTTGCATCTTCGGTGTCGAAAAGCGTAGGTCTTCACGTGGGAGCTTGTCTCCTTTTTCCTGTTGTTTTGGTGCCCAACAGATTTGAGACAGATCTGAGGTCGGTTGCTCCTAAAATAGGCGACCGAGATGTGTGTCTCTCACCGAGAGCTGTATGTACGTAAGAAAGTTCCTGCAAAAGCTTCATCCCGCGCAGTGTAAGACATTAGATTTGGCTCTAACTTCCCCGGACAGGGGAGAGCCTTGTATCTTGAGGCCTGCTCTGATCTAGGATGATGCCGTATCCGTGTCAGTTTGTTGATACGGGCACACGAGCACTTTCCAGTCTTTGAACCTTGGATGCGATGCGAAACATTTCAAGCCGTTCACGGACCATGAGTTAAAGTTACGCCCAGGTAAACCGAGAAAATGATTGGTGGTTGGGAATATCTGCAAACGACATGTCGCGTGTAAGCGGGCGATGCACATTCTACGGCAGCATACCATTGACAAGTCTCCAGATATAGCAACAAAATGAATAATGCAATAACTATGGGCTTGTTAGGTGAGGCTGATGTTGAGGCTGGAGTGAGACGAGACAAGTCTCGTAAGCAGCGATGACGTCGATCAGATTTTCAAAGGCTGCATTACAGCACAGGAAAATCCCGTGACGATCGGGAATAGCGGGCGATGGAGATATGAATTGGTAATATCCACGGAGGATGGAAACACAAGATCGGATTAGAATCTTGCGATATGCCGTTACTAACACAGAAAAACAAGAACTATTCGACGCCGGCATCATAAGAGCGACGCCGGGAGATATCCGATACAGCCGTAATTACGGCCGGGTCGGTGGTTCGGTGGAGTCCGGCCGTCATGCTTCCGCCACTTACAACCAGACCATTTCAGCTCAGCTCAGTTCAGCTAGAAAATATTTCACAATTTTGTGTGAAGCACCAAAGTTTATGAGGCCCAACCGAAGCTTCAAGTCAATAGAGTCTATAGCAAAAGACGTCAGGTCAATATTAATATCTTCGTATTATAAAATCATGCACATTACCATTACCATGCAGGGCAAAAAGAAGATTGCGATGATGCAGAATGGATCATCATTTTCAGGGACTTGTTGTACATGCACAAGGCCCCTCCCCTCCCCCCGACTGTGCCGAATCCGCCAAGCTACAATGATGATCACTGTGGCGGCAATGGCCCAGGGCTGGCTCGGTACAAGCGCTGAGCAAGGTTGACAAAATAAACCACTCAGTACCTCATTGGAGGACCAAGTTCTGCCAAAAACAGCTCTGATTTGATCTGTGCATCGTTGGTTGCACTCTGTGGGGAAGACCAAAAACTACAGCTTGACGTTTGTCTCTTTGAGACGTCTGGATGTTGGTTTCAAGACGTTTCATAAGGTGAAGATCTGAATATCAGCTGCAGTATGAATATACGTATCTGTGCTACGTGGAGGTTGACCTCGAGCATGACAGATCGACGCCGTGTCTCACCCGCGCCTTGTGCCTCGCCTCCAAAAACTGACATCACTTGGAGACCTTAAACGCCATAACCATGTACAACACAGTTTCTTTTCATAGTGCGCCAAAGTTTCAAAACACAACGTCTCTTTTGTTACAGGTGAATCACAAGCCAAAAAATGCTGCGTTGTCGTCAGTTAGGTTACCCCTCAATAGCTGATGCGTTGCTCAAGCGATCAACACACCAACCTAGTTTTTAGCTGGCATCAAACGAGCACCAGCGCGTTCAGATCCAAGGTGAGCGGCGGTCTGTGTTTAAAAAGGGTCCAGGATACGACAAGCTTATTGGTTTCCGTATGAGCTTTGTTAGAAGACATCCACTCGTTAACAACAGCACCACACCATTGATCTACAGCGAAAATGTGCCTTGCGCGGTAGCCCACGAATATCTTTACATTTTGAGGCAGGAAACTCTAAGTTGATCTTCGTTGTTCCGGACTTCAACTGCGTGGATGATCCCGGGGGAAAACAAACAAAAGAAAGAGGCGATATGTTTGCGTGTTGTTGTATAACGCATAAAATAATGAAGCTGGTTAACGTTACTTGATGCTGTCATCACATTTTGAGCTGTTGCTGTCACGTCTGGAGAGGCGCCTCGACCAGGGGATACCTTGCACAAAGGACGTGCGTCTCCGTCATCGTCTTCCCCAAAAGAGGGTGAGATTGGATGAGAAGTGGGTGTGGCTTGGAGACACCATGTGGCTCGAGGGCTTCGAGCTGCGCGACCAGAGGTTCTAGGCCTCTTGTGTACATACAGCCTATTTTCACGATGCTTTTGCTTTTCATTTGAGCATGCGACATAATAAACCTATTGCATCGTGATGCGGACGTGGGATGTGTAAACCTTAGATGAAAGCTATGTGCCGATGGCCGAGAGACCAGCCCGCCTCGGCAAATTTCCCAAACCTCTCTGGACGGTAGCTAGCGAAAGGTTGACTCGTGCTGCTAAGGGCATAAACTTTTGTATTAAACAACCAAGAGAAACATAGAGAGAGAGAGCCACAAAAAAAGCTTCCATGTGGGATGACATGACAAAGTTGGATAGAGTTTCTGGTAACGCGGGGAGACTGACAACCTTGAAACGCAAACGTGTTGCGATGAGAGATGCATGCTGTGGTCTATGGAGATTGATATGCGATATTCACATTGAGACTCGTGCAGCTACGTCTGCGATGTAGCCAAGGCCCGGGTTTGGTCTAGTCTTTTTGAGTGGGAAAAATGTTTCTGGTCAAAGGATGATCTTTGAGTTGTCACGACTAGTCGATTGTTAATCAATGGATCTTTGAACAACTGTACAGTCAGCAGTTACTTTCGTCAAGTGTATCTCCGAGCGGACTTTTCACTCTCGCTTCCATCACAGTGAGTGTCAGTGGAGTTTAGTTTGTGATGGAGGCTCCAGAGCCATGAACTCGCTGCTTCGTGTCGGTCGCGGGCCACCATAAATTTCCCCCGACACACCTGGTCTTAGCTCAGCCGATAGAGTTTCTCTTTAGGGCATAGTTCGCACCAAGAGAACCAATCACAAATATCGTCATCGTCCCAGAGTCTTTCTTTTCTCACCCCCATCGACTTTGGTTGTTATTCTGTCGCCCCCATCTTTACCAGGTCACTCATACTTAATTATCATCACCACCACTAGATTTTTCCCACTGACAACCCTTGCTTACTGTCGTGTGTTGGTCGACTACGGTCACTCCTCGCCCTTTTTCGCTTCTTCAGTGAGAAAGTCCTCTCCGCTCCGCCCGGCAGCACCAGATTACAGTAATCCCAGTCCCAGTCAGTCCCAGTCCCTGGCACCGTCGGGATTTTACTGCATATCCATCCGTTGGTGGACCCTTGTTCGAGACAAGACAAGCAACTACGACAGCCTTGCCTTGTCTTTCAAAGCAAGCAAGACAGCCAGCATCTTTTTTTGGTCTCTCTCGCCCCATTCTTCCTTTCATCACCACCTTTCTCCTTCTCCTTGACCGAGCTCCTGTCAAAGACAGGCTAAATTATCTGGGACCTGCTTCAAAGCAAGGATCCCCCCCCACGCTTGAATACTTGATCTCGTGCCTCCCACCCCATCCCATATCCAGACTCGAATGAAGTTGCTTGTTCAGCTCATTGTCGCCAAAATGAATTCCACAATCTTGTAGCCGATACTTGCAACGCGCGAGCACTTGCATTCAGGTTGCATATTCGACCTACCGTTGCAACTTCAAACTCTCGATTTAAAAGTCTAATCCGCCTTTTTAACATTAACTCAACTACCTCACCTTCTCCCACGATAACCTCACTCTTCAACCTACCTACCTACTTCCTCCTTCCGACCTACCAACCATCTACATCACGGGACTATCATCGCGACATTACCAAGTCATCAGAATTAGTCCTAAAGGATCAGAACAAGACTGTATGGCCCTAGACAATATGACTTCGAAACGCAGTTCACGACTCTTCGTGGACGAACCCACACATACCAGAGAAGGCCAACAGACACCCAACGGCACACAATTCCGTTCAAGACAGGGCTCTCGAAGCTCTACAAGAGAAGAAACGATGCAAGAAGTAGAGGAAGCCCTCTTCAATGGCCGCGATGCCACAAATGTCAGCCGCTCTGGGAGCCTTTCCGCCGTCAATATGGAAACGTCTCTGTCGGCATCTTCAAGAACAAGTAATTCGAGTGGCAAGTCGCACCTGATAATCTGGTCTAAACGAAATATCACTAACTCAACTTTAGCCTCCTCGACATCAGCATATCAATCACAATCAACCGACTACACAGCGCCTCTCAATGGCCGACCTCACAATTTTGGCGTTGTCATTCCAGGCGTCTACCGAAGTAGCTTTCCTCGGTCTCACGATTTTGAGTACCTCAAGGGTCTGGGCCTCAAGACCATTGTGTTAGTGCCTTCATTATGATGCGTTTTTGGCAACGCCGCTAACCTGTTATAGCACGCTTGTCAGGAAAGATGAACTTGATCACGATCTCGAGACATTCGTCCAACGTGAAGGCATTCGACAAGTCGTCTTCAATATGAAGGGCACCAAGAAGGAGGCAATTCCTCTGGGCACCATGAAAGCTATCCTCAGCATCGTTCTCGACAAGTCAAATTACCCTCTGCTGGTTCACTGCAATCACGGAAAGCACCGAACTGGATGCGTTGTCGGAGTTGTCCGCAAGATCGCCGGCTGGGACACCGAGAGCGTCGTGGCAGAGTACAAGAGCTACGCCGAGCCAAAGGCTCGTGAATGTGATGTCAACTATCTTGATGACTTCCAGGTCTCAAGTTTAGGAATTTCGAATCCCATTCCTAACGCGACAAAAGACGTCTACAAAAAGTGCAGTCGGTTTCAACCTCGCACATTTTTTCGAGCCGTCTTCTTCACCACTTTCGTCTTGCTGTTGTTCTTCATGTCAGGATCAAGACTCAGCACAGCGACAAGACCCGACCATCTACTTCTCTGACGACGGACAGTCAACCACGGCCGATCGTGACATGCCAACAAAACTTTGATCATCTCATCCCCCGAAAAGTTCAATCGAACACGAAAATATTACTTTTCACAAACTACACATGTACAACCGATACTTTTCCTTAAACTTATAAGAACCTCGATTCGGCAGACACCGACAACGTGTCTAAGCCGCCAAGAGAAGGATTTCATATTTACCACTCGAAAACCAGATGTCTCGAGGTTTTTCTATTCATGACTTACTATGCATTTGACGGCAAGGGCCGTATGGGTTTTGGGAGACGAATCAAGGGCTGAGAATGTCTTCCTGACTGGCGTTTTATTCTAAAGAGATGGAGAGGCACTGAATGCTAGACTTTGGGCTGAAGATTTCCTTTTCGACAGAGGCACGAGTCTGCCTGTTGATGTGATGGGAGAAACAAAAGGCGCATTGGAATATAGTGTTTGAACTGTATTAAAAGATACCTACTGATGATACCTGGATAGCAGGGCGTTGGGTAAAACAGTAGAAGAAAAAAGTGCTATCATTTATGAGTCGCAATACGTGTGATGTTGACCATGCTTATGAGGCTAAAGTTATAGGCTTGAATTATTCTTTTGGGGTAAAAACGAGGCCTTCAACTTACGTTTAATGATTAATGAAGCCTAAATTGTCATTCTTAAGTCCTAGATGCGATAGCAAATCATCGCAAAACCATTCAATATATCGTTCTGACTCATCTGATCCTCTGAGCAGCATGACTTACACACTTGGGTAGGATTGAGGCTGGTGATGCTATATTTGGATCACACTGCAACATGTGTCAGCCACAACAGCAACATGGGAATAGAGTCAATTACCACTCCAGCTTATAAAAGGAACATTCTTCATGTTCTAGATTATGGGCTCATCATGTATGTCAGGGTCGCTTCGGTTTATGTAAATCTGCCTCGCCGTCTCGTATTGCCACCAATTGTTGGTGGTAAGCTCGTTTCTGATGCCTATCGAGATTCGTATTGCTTTATGATCTGACCTTGTCTTGAAGCATTGTAACTTCATGACCGGCAGTTTCTACTATGAGAAGAAGTTACACAGAAGTTTGCTTTGTCTCAGTGATATGGAAAATGACTTGTGAGTCACCGAATAGGGTTGCAGGATTATGAGGTTTGTTGGCGCTAGTTTGTTCTCCTGATCATGTGAAATTGATAGACAAAATGTTCATTTTCGAGACGCATATGCATCTTCGCTCATAACCAACACGCCCAACTGCCGGACCAACGGCTCCTAAGTCTCAATCCACGCTCACATACAACAAACATATCGTACAACACCTATCATACAGCCAACACCACTCAAGTCCTAGTTCCCCCATCGGTTTCTGTCCACTCTAGCTTTCTCATCCTTCTCAAAATCACCATTAGCATAGACCCAACCTCCAGCAACGCAGTTCGCGGCCCCCAATCCAATAGCAGTACCACGCACGACCCCTCGGACCGAGAACCGCCCACGGAAAGGCTGACGTCGTCGCAGAGCCAACAGCACGTAGAGTCCCGACCAGGCAGCGGTTAGACCAGCACTACCGGTTGGATAGCCGGATAGGTTGAGGTAGGATGAGAACAGCAGTGGAGGTGTGAAGATGAAGAGGGGCAGGGATGGGGGCCGCGCGTGTAGAGCGGTGATGAGGGTTGCTAGAAGAGATGGAGGGAGAGATGCAGCTGTTTTGCTGTCAGTTTATACTTGTTTTCTTGAGTCACAAGGCCCAAGTTTCATTGATACTGAGAAGCGTGGATGAGTGAGTGACTTACTGCCCCAATCGTTGAGATAGTCAAAAACAGACTTTGATTTAACCGCCACCACTGGATCTTCATTCGCCATTTTTTGCGATTGTATGTAAGTGAGAAATGTAACTGTTGCAATTGGCGCTTAGCGATGAGCTTAGAGTCGTGATGTAAAAGATTTGGAGCTCTTTGCTACCCCGGTCAATTTGTGACGTCGTGCATGATGACTAAGGCACCTTTTAACTCCCATCCAACTCCAGCTGCTACCTAGAATCCGAGGTCACATGTCTCCAACAACAGCAACGACACGAGGAAAGTCAGCATGCAATGCAGTGGACAAGTCATCTTGCCCCGTACCAACAAGACAAGACGCATAAACGTTAATTCCGGTTCGTGATTCTATTATTATTCTTATTCCCTAGCTCTGGGGCCGAAACATTTCGGTTTGCTCTAGCTCTTGCGCTCCGCCACAGTATCAGCACCCGAAACAGGTAGGTCATATCGTACATCAGAGATCAAAACATTCGATATTCATAGCTTGTGTACGCCTTGCCATCAAAAGGGATGACGGTCCATCCAAGCGTTATTCTAAGTAAGTGTAATAAACATGACATTGGTTGCTAAAAAATGCCTCTAACAAAAGAAAGAAAGTAACAGGATTAAAACGGGGGGTATAATAAGAAGTGAAAAAGTTTAATCATACACTTTCCGTCATGATGTCGTTAAGATATTCCCGAGTCAGCCTTGCCCCAGGATCAGCGTCCGCTGTGATAGTATCGCGGATCATGGGTGTAAGCGCTCTGGTCATACTCGCCGCCCCAGGCTTCATTCGAGTAGCCCTGCGAGTATCCTGATGCATCCCACTGTTGGTAGTTTGTGTCATAGGCTTGCATATTGTACTGGTCTCCTGAGGGTCCAGCCGTGGCATAGCCTCCAGCGCTCTGATCAGCGCTCGAGAGCAAGTTGAGATCGAAGCCATCTTCAGGGCTGAGCTGTGAGAAGTCGAATTGGCTCAGAACACCCCCTGTTTCCTCTCCTGACGTGACTATTCGAGACGAGTGCCCGTGATGCTTGCTAGAGCGCTTGGAAGAGCTGCCCCCTCGTCGAGAGCTAGAGCTCGATGGACTGTCGCCGTCGTTGGACTTGCGAGGACTCTTCTTCTTGGAAGACTTGGAGCCGGAGCGTGTATACTCGCAGCGAAGACCATTGCTCCGACATCGTTCGCAGCCATTCTTGTCTCCACTGCACTTGAGCTATACATGATATCGTCAGCAAATAAGCTCTAAGCGAAAAAGGAGAGCAAAGATCTTGGCATTAGAAGCCTAGCCAATGTTTCCGCAGACGTACCTTCTTCTCATGACAGCGATCGCATGCCTGGTGGGAACTAGAGCGGGCCGTGACAGGGTCGAAGCCATTGCGAACGCTCTGGACCTCATCCGTCTCAGGATCGTACTTCCAAGTACCAAACATGGCTATTGCTATTTCTGATAACCGACAAGTATAAGTGAGTGAGTCCTAAGTGGCCCATAGAATGATTGGCGAGAAGGATAAGAGAGGTGGTAATAGGCAACTGAATTTGCAACTGATTGATATCCGCTCAAGCGTAGATATGCTTCGATGGAACTTGTGTGTCTTGTTCTTTATTTTCTGCCTGAAGGGAAAGCATCTCGTGGCGTTTTTAAATCCCGAGGCATCTGGTATAAGAACGTCCGTGGACAAGGTAGAGGTCTTATAGGCAACAACGCACGGCAAGTCTGAACGATCCAATCCAACAGTGTTGTAGTGAGCGAGCCCATTATCGCGGACCCCATCTTCCCTGTGGGCATGAGGTATCGTGCCGAGCCGCACTGCCAGGCTCCCGTCCATGGGATGTGATACCTTTTGGGTCGGGTTGGTTTAGGTAAAGGGCAGTTGGTCGAGTGCACCCCTGTCTCCGATCTTTGTGATGCTCCGGGTCTCCGTCTAAGTGTGTCCCTTGCACGACACACACCGCACTAGTCATGCCGGCTCCTGGAGGAGCAGTTTTGCATAGGTGACGTATTTTTCAAGTGCGAGGATTACGTTGTTCCTTTATTTTAGAATTTGGGCTGCCTGATTTTACTGAGTTGTTCAGTTCCATTCCGTTCTTTTGGTGGTTATCTCTGGTGTAAGGTTATGTAATGTAAGTGACCCAAGCTAGTTGAGTTCAGGTGGAAACTCGTGAGATCCCTGTGATATGAGTGGTCCAACTCCACCTGTGCCTGGAGGAGGAGGCTAAGAAGGCTGGAGTAATTCCTACGAGCATATCCGTCGAATAAGAGAAACATCTGTGCGACGATGTTCAATTTCTGTGTGGCTGTGTCTGCGTCTGCCCTGGAAACAAGAGTTCTAGAGTCCAGTCTGTATATATTGATAGTATGAATAGTGTAGCACTGCATGCAGGGCCCCCAATTCCCTCATTGGGCGCTTATCGACCCTTTTCCCACAATCCAATGCCAGTGAGAATCCCATTTCACTGTCTGCCGGGTGCCTTGCATCCTTTGATCTACAACATATGATGTAAAACAGTTGCTTCAACAGAGGAATTGTCTGTTGGTTGTTGGTTACTAGTCCCGGCCGTGGGGAAAGGCAACGCCGCAATTTTAGGCAAAAGCCTCCACAGTCGGCAACCGACAAGCGAACCCTTGAACGTCATAACATTAACCCCAATCGAGACTTCAATATGGTATTGTCATGCCATAAAGACACCGAGACTTGACTCATTGACCCTCTAGCCAGACTTTTTCTCGGGTGGATCACGAGGTTATCTAGACAAAACGACGAAATTACAACAAAATACGATTTAGAGTGGTTGCATGAGGTCTTCAGGGAGGGCACGGTGAGTCGATATCAACGGTGATGGGGGTGGCAGAGCTACGTACTGTACAGCAGTTGTGAGTGATAATATGAAAGATTGATATGATAATTCAGTATCAGCCTTGTACGGCACGGCATGTTACATGAGTGGTGGGTTTTACGCGTGATGGCTCGAATTTAGGCAGACTGTGGAGGCTGAGGCTGTCATTCTTGGAATCCCCTCATCACTGCAGTATCATGGGACTTGACGATGCAGGCCTCAGAGTATATTTCCTCGTATATTTGTGTTTTTCTATCAAAATCACTCTTACGCTCGCCAATATCGTCGTATCTATCCGTGCCTTACTGCTCACCCTTCAACCATCAATCTCCACAAAATCTCTCCTTTATCACCGTCAATCTTCACATCTGGCGCCCGCGCCAATTGTGAGGTTGCCCACTTCACCCGATCTACATCCTTCTTGACATCGTGATATACCGGTAGTCAAGCCCAGCGCACTTGCTTCACCTCCTTGATCTCGAGATACTCAGCGTATTCTAGAAGATCACCCACTGGAACATTGCTGTCGAGCTTCTGCACCGTCCCGTTGTTCCAGTGCACTAGAACCTTGGCATAGCGCTTGTCGGGTGCCAAGAAGGCCACGATTCGGTCACATGATGCTCGGGGGTTAACTGAAATGGTAAACGAAAAACTATTTTCGCATCGCATTCCATTCCTTGTGTTGTCATATACCTCAAAGATCGGCCTGCCATTGCGGTTATATCTGTGGGGCGGATGCGAACGACTTTGACTGGCAGCATGCACATCGGAGATATGTCCATAGTTATCGTGGCTATGGGAGATACCTGTCGGATGGGGGCAACATTTGCAAGTACATTTCGTGGGGTCCGTTGTTCGATACTGTCCTTGCATGTCGAGGGGCATAATGTAGGTACCATAGATTGAACCTCGCTTGATTTTTGGTGCCCGGCCACTGTTGAGCATTGTGTTGATCTCCTCCTGCGGCGAACGATCGCGCCCTCGGTCAGAACGAGAATGGCGTCTGTCATTGCTCGCGCGGCGTTCTCTGTTCAAATGAGAGTAATCTTCCGATATTGGGCGAGAAGCTGAGCCCCTTCTCGAACGCGGGTTCTGATCCCTTCTGGGATGATGATGTTGTTCCCACCTCATATGGTAAGGCATTTCGAACTCGCCAGACCTGCGTGAGTACGAGTCAGAAGTTCGACTGCTAGAGTACCTGCTGTTGCGACGTCGGTCATAGTCACTGTAGGCACCGTGGTTTGAACAGACGGAATTTCGCTTCCTAGCCGCCGCAGCGTCAAGATCGTAACGTTGTGATGAGTACGACATGTTGGACTTTGATTTGGCATACAGACCTGGTTTGAGTCACTGTTTGGTTTGAGGTGAATTGGTTTTGTGATTCGTGTGAAGAAGACTGAGTTTGTGAGTATAGAAAATGTTCGTATGGATATTTAAAGAAATATGTAGTGAATTAACGAGTCCATCATGGCCACCTTGGAAGGTCGGCCTGGATGCTCAATCTTGGAAGTGAACATAGCTTCGACTGAACGATTATCGAGAACATCGACTCTGCTTTGTTCAATCCATATTGAGAACATTGAGTATTCTTTGTTCATCAATTCCCGTCTTTCAACATACTGTTCACTCGAACAATGTTCAAAGATATGTTCATGGGTGTTCTGCAGAACTCGTCGAGTTGTTCCGCTTTCATCAAAGAACACAGTCAAAGAGTCCAGTTACACAGCTTCCGGGCTTCCGCAAGATCATCTGTGTTGAGGCTGTTCAGGCCTGGGCAACTAGGCCTTTTGAGAGAAAATAGAAACGGGTCTTTCACGTTCACGCGGGTCCCAAGATGGCAGGTCGATTTTGTTTGATTAAACCAAATCCTAAATGGAAGCAATGGGAAGTCGGAAGAATGAATGGCGCGATGAGGCTCGGGGATGCAACGGAGGCCGACATTATGGAAATTAGGGGCACAAGCAGATAAAGTCCCCTAAAATTCGAGATAAGCCAATGATCTTGTCTCATGTTGTTGGCGGGCAGCTTCCCCACAGTGGCCAAAGGGGGCTAAGGGTGCGGCAAAAGCCACAGGTGGAGGCCACGCTCCAAAAGGCCAGCAAAGACATGTCCATTCCATTTCATCCCGCACTCTAATCTTTGCAACCATCTTCATACTCTATTCCCATCTACCCCCAAATCCTTCGGCATTGCCATTTCTCTTTCCTTACTTCTTCTCTTCAATCCTTACCGGTGTCTTCAGCTCATTAATCAAGATGGCTCTCTCTCCTCAGATGTAAGTCCTTCTCCACGCGACAGCTCGTCGCGCAGATATCTGGTGGCGCAAAGAAAAGAATGCTGACATTTGCGATAGCACCAACCTGATCATCATCTTGGGTATGATGCAGGTGTCGAAGCGCGTTCCCTTCGATGATCCCTTCGTGCTCAACGTTGTCCGCGCCGTCTATCTCGCCAGCAACGTCATCATTGCTGCTCTCTACTTCTACACCCAGCTGAAGATCAACAAGAAGAAGGGTACGATCACTTCTCTCATGAGGCAATTTCAACCATCGCAATGCTAACATGAGCTTTCACAGACCTCACAACCCTCAAGTATGTCGAACCCGCTCCCATGGGCTCCACTGAGGAGGGCAAGCTCGTCACCACCACCATCCACGCCTACGACAACCAGCAGATCCGTACCGCTTTCCGTGGCCAGGCCATGGGTATCGCCATGATGGCCTTCATGCATATCTACATGAAGTACACCAACCCTCTCCTCATCCAGAGCATCATCCCCGTCAAGAGCGCCTTCGAGAACAACATGGTCAAGATCCACGTCTTTGGCCAGCCTGCCGCCGGTGACCTCAAGCGTCCCTTCAAGCAGCCCCAGGGCTTCATGAGCGCCATGCAGGGTGGCCCTGCCCAGAGCGACAAGAAGGCCGTTGAGGCTGCTGAGCGTGCTGGCCGTGGTGGTGCCAAGGAGGAGTAAGCTAGAATTTCTGAAACGAATTTCGGCTTTAGAGGATAGCATGGATTGTAAGCTAGGGTTGTGATAGACCTTGGTTGTACTATAATACAGGTGTCATGGCTCGCAAAAGTATTTGCTTGTGGCGAATGTCAATTCAAGGAATTGGGACATATGAGCAATTTCTTGAAATGATATCTAATGTAGAAAAACATGAATATTGTTACGAGAACTTGAGGATCATGTCCTGCAAAGCAAAATGCAATTTGATGGCTGTCGAAAGTTTGCGTAAGCTGTAGTCACGTTTTCTCGTGTTAATTGGTGACATAATTCAGATTTCTAGATCGCGACAATCCGCCCCTCCGCCACCTATCGCCGTCATCTAGAAAACCGGTGTCAAACTTCTCTCTTGACGTCTGCATTCGCTCTTTTCTCTCTAAAATTTGTCTTCCTTCATTTATATTGCAAATAACGACGAACCCAGCTGTCTTCTCTTGACAGTGTTCTTTCGGCACTTCATCTCCGATCGCTTGTCATGGAACGGCCATCTACACCACCTCGGGCAACAAAGCCTGCACCCACAATCACTCCGCCTACCCCAGAAGTTACGAAGCGCATCGTATGTAAAACGTTGAAGCCAATATACCT